GATCATTTTACTGATGACAAAGACTACAAAGGCTGAAAAATCTTGAAGTCTGTATGAAATTGGAGGTAGTTTGAGGATTAAATTTTTTATGCTTTTTAAGCTCAAAAAGGGGGGGTCGTGTTAAACATGAGATCGTATTATACACGAATAAATASGGTAAGCATTGTTTCATATGATCTTAAAATGTGTCTTTGAACTTGAGCCCACTTTGTCTTAGTAAATACTGTAGGTGTGTGTAGTCTTCTTTGGTCTTTCTGCTTGCATTTTATTGTGTTTTATTCCATCCTTCTAGTCTATTCATTATCCTTAGATCWGTTTCTGTGCTTTATCATCGTGGCACAGATGTTGTAGTGTAAACATGCAGCAGCTTTTTCACTGGTTGGAAGTTTTAATGAACTGGGCTGAGCTTTTAGGTACACTTTTGACTATGTGCCCATTATTTTTCTGTAACTGTTACAGTTGTTTTCCACAGCTTAATGACAAGAAAACCCTTACAAAAAAATGACACTAAGATGTTAAGTTGTACAACAAGTATCCCCAAATAGGTCTGAATCCAGACTGAGTGATGGTTCTGTCAGGACCTGTGCCAAATCTGGTAAATTCAAGAAAATGTATCTATTTTCATGATGAATCACTGGTTACAGCTCTCTCTTTACTCTTCTTATACAGTTTAACCATTTTGTCATCCTAAATTATTACTATAAGAAGTCCCACTTTACCATTGGCTTTATAAAAAAGTGAAATTTGTTTCCAATCATTTTCAAGTTTTAAATCATTTAAACCTCACTGATCATCCCAGAGTACCACAGTAGTGAGTTGCTTYAATTAACATTAACATTAGTTTGTTATACGGGCAGCAGGTAGGCACTTTTGACTTGCGTGTTTTTGATCCTTGGACATACCCCTCTCCCTGCCTGCCCTCTATGTGTCTCATAGTAATCCCTTCTAGAAGGCCATGTTTTGCTGATGAGTTCCAGTGTGGAGATGAAACGTGCATCCTGAAAGAATACCTGTGTGACAACAGACCAGACTGCAGAGACATGAGTGATGAGACTAACTGTGGTGAGTGTCTTCAGTCTGTCAGGCAGCTTGGTGTCCTGCTGCTTTGTTGTGTGACAGAGTCACTCATTGAGACAACTCTGAATGTCGCTAAATTTAATTAAAGGTTTGTTTTAGATTTGCCAAGATTCACCATCCCTGTCTACACTACGCCTGCCACCACTACCACCACAGCGGCTGTGATACTGGACTCTCCGCCCCCATTTTCACCTTGTAGAGCAGATCAATCCAAATGCCAGAGCGGGGAATGTGTCAATAGAAACGTAATCTGTGATGGAGTTAAAGACTGCTCAGACGGCAGCGATGAGCTGAGATGTGGTAAGTATGTGGGTTTGACACAATGAGCTCTTTGTACASGGCAAATATTGTCAAAAACAAAAAGACGTTGTTCATTAATATGGCAGTCATAAAATCTACATCTACATGGCTGACTGAGGACATTTGTACACACACACGCACACACACACACTTGTTTTTGTATCCTTGTGGGGCCCGTCCATTGACTTCCATTCATTTTTTGGTAATTTTATATCCTAACCCTGACCACAAACCCTAAGGCTAACCTCACAGGTACGTTCCTGACCCTAAAACTAACCTAAACTCAATTCACACCTTGGTCCTAAACCCAACCCTCACACCCAAAATCAGCCACTGAAGTTGTGGGGCCCAGCACCTGGGCCCCACGAGGCTGCGTTTTCCTGAAAACTGGGCCCCACGATGTAGGAAAAACAAGGACGCACACACACACACACACAATCTGGTACAGCTATCTTTTAGGGGTGCAACGATACAGAAAATTCACGATTCAGTTCAGTTCGATAATTTAGTCTCACGGTTCGAAATTTTTTCGATACAAAAAAGAGAAATTTCCATGCCCCTTTTAACTTGTAATTTTTTAAAATTAATTATGAACATTTGTTTAACCTCAAAAGTACAATTTTTCAATTAAATGTTGCTGAAACAGCAAGTTTCTCGGTGGATCTTTGCTCAAAAATGCAGCCTAGGTGAAGTAGTCGA